ATAAATAGTATTTTATATATGTTTTGGGTAAGCAAAAGTTAAGAGAATATTTTAAAACTACAAGTATTCAAATTGAAACCTATAATATCTCAAACTACTCTAAAAAAACCTGCTATGCAATTGTTAAAGAAGCTTGGGTAGAAGGTGTGTTGACTTAGTGTAGTAGTTTAGTTATTATCCTCTCCAAGTGGCAGGTCTAGAGTTTGAATCCCATGGATAATGATATTTGAAAAATAGGCCTGTATTTAGTTGATGGCTATGCTGATCGGTTGGATCTAAAACTAAATCTGTAACTTCAGTTACACTATCTAGTAATAGAATCTTTGGCGCAATAAATCTGAGGAACTGACATTACTAAAAACCTATTTGAGAAGACCCAAATCTGGAGGTAGTAGTAATCTTTGATGGTATTATAGAAGGGCTGAATTTGAACTGGAGCCCAAGATCAGAGAACTGAGCGATCAGGTCCTTGGTAGAGGACACACTAGCTGAGCTGCTGGGTTGTCACACTAGAGGAAAAAGACATATGCTCTGAAAGTATAGACCAAGGGAAGGGCATTTTTTAGGTACCTAAAGCCTGGGCAGACCAACCTTTTCGAGTTGCTAGCTAGAAGTAAAGGAGAAACTGATAAAAATTCAAATAAGAAAATGGACCAAATGTGGATATTAGGGTTGTTGTGAACTAGATAAGAGCAAAAGTATATAATAGGTGCCTAATTAGAAAGGTTAGTGCTTGAGAAATGTCTGTAGAATAGCAACACCCCAAAAGGTGGCATGAGATACATATACAGAATAGCAGGCTAATATGTACTAATTAGGAAGCTATTACAGAACATGCAGATAAATACATGTGTAAAACATGTACTGCTCTGTTAGGTTTACCTCAAGAATAGATTAGCTAGAAATAGTTAGTAAGTTCTAAGGCAGTTAGTATATCCTTTGCAAAGATGATATCCAAAATCTATACATAAATAGTAAGAAAACTTGGGTTAGGTGGTTAAATAATAACAGTTAGAACCAGATGGTTTAAATAAGTACCCCCTAGTTGGGGTGCAAATACAGCAGATAGTGTAGAATCTTTGGGCAGACTACTTAAATTAAGCACCAAAAATGCATATGTGGTTTGATGTACTATCATTGTAATTGCATAACATTATTTCAAATCCTAATAAAAGCTTTCAGGCCAGAAAGGTCTTCTTAATGTAAAAAAAAAAAAAAAAAAGAAACTTGGATACTCTAATTCAGTCATGATATCAATTACAAAACACAAATCTCAAAAAGGTCTTACTATATACAAACACCCAAAATTAGTAATATAGTATGAAGGTTTTATCAAATTTTATATTGAAACAAGTTTCAAAAAATAAAATATTAGTTTTGATTTTTATAATTTTTAATATTTGATTAATACTTTACTCAAAGCCCCTGGTAATTATAATAACAATAAAGTCTCTGGTGACCATAATAAAGAAGATAATAATTCTAAAGATCATTGTAAGCTGGCACCATTATTTGGCAATTTCATGCTTGCAATCAATAAACTGATTCCCAGGTTTTATTGATAAATGCATTTTACAATCTTGAAATATTCCCCAATGATTCAAGTAATATACTGGCTGAGCATAATCAAAATGTTCCTAAAAAAGATAGTTAAAAGGATGAGGTCAATGGTGTTGAAAAGAATGGGCAAAAAAAAGATGATAAGGATGTTAAAAAGAAGTTAAAAAATAAATTTTTTTTTTAAAATTTCTTATGGAAAATACTTTTAACAATTGTTTAGAATTTAAAAATGAAAAAAATGCATTTGTATTGAAAATTTGCATTTGAATTGCAAATTCAATTTAATTGTTTGTATGTATAGTATAGCTGCCCGAATTATGGCCCAAATATTGCATTTTTGCCGAATATAATTGATCCGAGTATTATGATGTTTGTGCAAATTTTGAATATTCGGCAATACGTCATCAAACGTTAAAAATAACAGTCAGTTGCCGCGCAATGATCATATGAGTTTGTCGGATAAATAATTTTACTGTAAATTCTCGAAATAGCGGGTAGGGGCATTATTTCGAAAATCGCGCCCCTAAAAATAGCATAGGTGGTTTTAAAATAACACCCATGCGCATCCCGAAATAGCAAGCACCTCGAAGAGCAAGTATCGGGTAAATATCGGAATACAAAACCCAATTACCGCTAAATATGTAGCATATCAGAAGTATTTACCTGATACTTATTCATTCGACCGTTTATAATTAGTAACAATCTGATTCCAGAATTAATACTTTATCTCGAAATAACGCGCACGTAGTCAAAATAGCGCGCTATTTCGAGAATTTACACAAAAATATCAAGGCAAAAAATTTTACATAAACATATCAACAATTAAATTTTTTTTTATTTTGATATCAAAATTTTATTTAAAATATGTTACATTTGGCATTTGTAATAAACATAATCTAAACCTTTTCTATAATTTGACACAATAAACATAGTTAACGAGTATATTATAAGACCAACATATTAAACCATGATTTGCAAAAAAAATGGTTAGAAAACTTATTCGCACAAATTGTAATTTTGACGATGGCATTTGAAACATAAAAGTGTTTAAAAAAAAGTATCTAAATGTTGTGGTTTATATTTTGTACTAAAAATTAAAATACGGTATCAAATATCTTATCGTTAAATAAATATTGCTTGATTACCCATCCTATTAGTATCTTTTTACACACGTGAAGTTATACAAGTGAGCGTATAAATGCGATTAATGCATTAAAATAGACAACCAATCAGAGTTTGTTTTGTAACCTTGCATGTATAAAAACAGATTATGTAACCTATGATTTAATATTTTTTTTTTTATAATTTTGTGATTGTGTGATTGTCGACAATAATTTTAACTCCTGGCCAATACAAACTTCCAGTTTATTAATAAAATCAACCTTATAAGCACAATTGTGTAATCACAGAATCACAATCACCATTAAAAAAAAAATCGCGGAGTTTGTAGAGCGCAATTCGTTTTCCGATCTTTTTTAAAAATTTCTAGGGTCTCTGATAATCACATAGTAGAGACATGCCTTTTGGTTTGAAGGCATATCCCAGGCGTGCCCTGGTTACCACACTCAACCCTATTTAGACGGTTTTCTAATGGAAAGGTCGATGGTACAGAGAAAACGTGAAATTCTTAGATCTAAAAATTCCAAAAAGTATAATTTAATTTAGGTAGAGTAAGGCTTGGCTCGGGTCGACCTAAAACGGATTAGCTTAAATTTATAGAACAGAATGATTGGCATGGTTTGTAAACATTAATGGTTAATCAAGCAGACCAATTGTTTGCATCACTAGATTAAAGCAAAGAATTATTATCAAGAGCGAATTTAATTTTAAGTCGTACTGGATCTAATTATAAAAGTGAAAGTTACAATATTATTGAAAACAATTAGAACACCTGATTATAATATTATTCACCGGGTCAGAATCCAGTAGATTAATAACCTAAATTTCCACGCACGTACGTACAAGTTTTTATTACAAACATGCAAATTATTATTCAAATTAGTAAAATTCGGAGTATCCGGATTCGGATTATCCGGTTATTAGATGAATTTTATTTATTTATGCCGGTAATACAAATACCTAAAACTGAAAGATACAAATTATCACTTGTTATACATAAAATTTCATTCCCGTCATTTTTAATTACAAATTAGTTCCCATGGTTGCACGTGAACGGACTGATCCGTGATTATAAAAATTTACATTCTAATTGGCTATTTCTTTTTTAGGAAGTTGTATTACTAGGAAATATGATTGGATCAAAATTTTTAGCCAATCAAAAATCAAGGAAAGTGGTAACATGGCAAGAAATTAAATATAACTATTAGTGTTATTCGAACAGGGTCTTATACTCAAAACTAACCAAAGTGAAGACATACAACTGAATTTATATAGCAGTAGCATAGATTCCGTTCTTAAAATTTTAAATACGGAATGATCTAACGCTAAGTTTTTTTTGAACTTTGATTTATACCTTCTTGGAGAAAAAGAGGAGTTGTATTCTAAAGTAACATAACTAGTAATCACACATTGAAGTCGAACAAACTTGTTCCTGATTACTTGATTATTTAATTTGATTATTTAGTTGTGAATATTACATATTTGTTATGTGATGCAATAATCTAATTCTCCATAACATTTGTTATCGACATAACGGTAACGTCTAAACTTGGGCCTAAAGTCGTATTACATGTGATTGTTTGATTCTTCGCTAAACCCTTAAAATATTTTTAATTAACATTGTAACATTTTACTACTCCTTAATTTATTTAACATACGTACAAACAAGCTCTATAATTGCAATATACACTTAAATTATGTATACATTTTGGAGGCAGACTTTTTAACTCTCAATTTACTATTGGTACTAAATAGTGTGCGTTTTCTACTATATATGAATTATACCAAATTTGTTTAAAAAAGATAAAAAGGCAAGGGCTCAAAAAAGAAGTGTTTGTATCAATTGATCAATGACTATTGGAATTGCAATGCTCTCTTATGTATGTACGTGACATTTTCTTATAATATGGATCAATGCATAGCGATAATTAAAAAAAAAACCATTGAGAGTTGTTATAGTCGCAGTTCTTTAGATACCTCATTGGGCCAGGTGCCGTTCGGCTCAGATTAGAGTAAGAGCTTGCATGTACTGAATCGTGCATGTGAAGCAAAATATAAACATTATAAAAATAGAATATTAAAGAATTCGAACTTGTCATTATAAAGAATGAAATATTTGTGATCTGCAGAGATCGTGTACGCGGATAAATTTCGGATCTTTGCGTGTATGTTGTTTGTAATCCATCTATTTTTATACAATTATCAAATACTCTGAAGTCCAAATTAGTCAGCTATTTTTAACAAGAGCTTCTAGAATTTTTTGCTTAAATAGCGTGGTTTTTCCATGTCGGAATGTCCAAGAAAATATTTACTAGTCAAAAATGAGTAATACTGCAAATACAGTTCCAAATTCACCATCTATAGAATCGTCTCCCAAATCGTTACCTGATTCGGAAACGCTTCCAACAATTAGACCTCCGTTCCCCCCAGCTATCAATATTGAAGATTTAATTTCACTTAGAGAATCCTCAGATGGCACCCAAATGTTTCCATCCCGAGCTCCAAATGCATTCATAATTTACAGAAAACAATTCGTTAAAGCAGCGCGAGATAAAGGTTATTTCCTACCTATGACAGTAATTTCATCGATGTGTTCTCGAGCTTGGGAGAATGAAGATGAAAATGTTAAATTGACTTATAAAAAAATTGCGAGAGAGACTTACGTTAAAAGAAAAGAAATGTATCCAAAGATATCTAAAAGAAAAAGAAAAAAGGATCTTTGGAATATTGTTCAATTTAAACCAAAATCAATACCTGATGCTACAAATAATTCAGATGACGTAAAATTTTATAACTTATTAAATACTGAACCGAATCTCTTTTACTCAAATCCTGGCTACATCAACAGCAACAATGATATAAATCAGTCTTTTTACAATTCTATTAATTATAAACATGAACCTTTAGAATTCATGCAATTTAATAACGATTATTATAATGACTTTCCATACGCATTGGAATCTCAGAATGCTCATGATATGTCGTCTTTCGAACCAGCAACCTTTGAAAATTTAAACTTTGATCCAAATAACTATTACATTTTCTTACCAGAGGACACTTCGAATATTTTAGCACCGCAGTAATATGATACAATAGATGACGTAATTCATTGACATTGTTTATTTATTATCTATCTGTATTTATTTTGTACATATATCATTATTCTTTGTTCATTTGTTTGTATAAAAGATTGATAAAATAGAATTCTATTTTTAAATCGTTGTTGTCTAATTTTACGAACATTCCTAAATTAGAAAATTCGCGAAATCCGCCACGTGCCCCATTTATCTCCCCGTGGTGATCATTTACGTTATTAATTAGGCAAAGACGTGTTTGTGTTCGTATTCTAGAATTTGTGTAACCGACATTTATTATTATATTTGGAGTATAATGCTCTTTCGAATAGCAATTTTATTTTAAGTTTTTAAATAAGATTCCACATGATAATTTTATGTACCACATACGTACGTACGTAAATAAAGAAACATGCATTAACAATATCAAGAAAGTCTTGTTTGTTCGTGTAATGTAAACCTTGATAACAACATAATTCGCTAACTAATAACGATCTAATTGCCGTTAAAAATAGTAAACCCTTATATTTTATTACGTGATGTTTTGATACGTATGTACGTTCGTACTTATATTTGTTCTCTGTTCTCCCATTTAAAGAATATGAAACATTTTGTATTCTAAAATTGCGAACCGAGTAAAGCAAACTCGGATTATCCGCAAGTGAGTCGGTAAAATGGAAATCCGATGTTGTTTTTATTTTTATTATTATTATTTTTTTTTTAGTAACATTCTTTATTTTTATTTCTGTTATTTCTATTTTATCGATGCCAAAGTAATATGAAACTGAGGTAACGATGAATTGCAAATTTATAGACAGTGCTTAGGGATAGTGTCAATTCACGTGACATTACAGTCGTCCTCCTCTACAGTCACCTCCTATATAATCACACCCTCTTTATAAGCACCATTTTTTGAAAAATTATTGGCAATATATTTATTTAAAAAACTCTATATGGGTTAGGTTTTACATAAATTAATTTAGAATAAGTTTAGGGTCTTTTTTCACTTAAGACTCAAAAGTAGTTGTGTTAATCAAAATTTGCAGTATAGCTCTTTAAAGTTTGTATTTTCTTATAATCTATTATAAGATTTATAACACCAAAAATTGATTTTCCGAAGATCTTTTGTTTTGTCAATTTCGTTCCTTTTCCCAGAACCTAGCTCATATAATTACATTACTATTGAAATTTTATAATCACATTTTTTTATTATGTAAAACAAAACAGCGTGATTATAGAGGAGGACGACTGTATTAAAATCCATCCATTCTAACTGCTAACTGGCCATCATGTGAATTTGCACTGGTGTCAGATATTAGCTGAAATCAATTTACTATAGGGCTCACCCTCCCTCTGAAAATTTAGTCATTCTGATTGTTTATATGTATTATATTTACTTGAACCTGAGATTTTTTGTCTACCTCCCTCCCACCCAGGGTTGGTAATGAATGCACTCCATTGAAAAAATCATCAATGATGCCCATAGTGCCAATGAAACAAATGAAACAAAATAGGACCATTAGTGCTAATGGTGACAATGGTGCCAATGAAGAAGACAATAACTATGTGTTCTGCACCTTATTTGAGTGACTCCGAGAGATGTAATTTAAATTAATTTACGCATTATACGTTTTCAATTAGGGCTTAGTCTGGAGGTCATCTAAAGCCAGGTAGTTTTTAAATTGATTATTAACAAATTCGTAAATTAAAAATCACGTGATGCATATAAATTACTA